TATATATATATATATATATTCCAAGAACAGTAAGACAAAGTTCTCATTAATTTGCTTCCTGAATCATTTTCCCATCATCCCTCTCTTCAGGCTTTTTGTGGATCTTAAGCGTCTCTCTGACCCTGCAGTGAGAGACCATCTGCAGCTGGACTCCCCGAGCAAGCCTGACCTTAGCATCCAGACGTTTCCATACGAATCAGTCTACAATGAACTGCAGGCAATTTGTGCCGCGCTCGGACCCAAAGACAAAGTGTGGATCTGTGACAAGGCCAGCTGTGCTCTCACACAGGTCATCCCAAAGGTGAGAAAATATCGTCAGATTTAGAAAGTCAAGTCAACTTCTGGGGCTCAGTTCTAAATAAGTGACCAGATATTTTTTTGTTTTGTGTTACAATCAGGGGTGGAAATTAGCACCTGTCACTGGCCAAATGCGGGTAAAATTCTGAAGTGGCTTGTGTAATGAACTGAAAAATTAAATAAATAAATAAAATGCATTCAAATCGCGCTACTGACCTTTGTCAAAACCTCAGTTTCATTTTTATTTTGCATTTCAGAGCCTGTAGGACGTTAAAAAACATTAAATAACATCAAACAACCATCTTCCAACCCACTCTGCAGCTGCAAATAAGTTCTCCCCTCCTCCTTTCCAGCGCGCTGTCATCCGTGTCCCCCCCCCATACCACACAGTAATAAGATTTAAGATTGATTCAAGTAATTGTTTGTGTAAACACCTTCAAGCATCGCTCAGCACATGAATATGCAGCTTATATGTAGTTATACAGTGGTTCACAGCAGAAGCAACTAGTTTTAGATGGTTAAAAACAAGATAAATATAATACATCTACAGTCATGTCCGTAAGTTTTTCTACACCTGAAATCTTTCCAGAAAATGAAGTATTTCTCCTAGATAATTATTGCGATTACACGTTTTGTTCTAAAAAAAATTATTCCTTTTTTTTTGTAAAAACAAAGTAAACAGAGGAGACACACACACACACACAAACACATAAATTATATAATTTCAGCAAAGCCCAAAAATGGGCTGAACAAAATTATTGGCACCATCAACTTATTAAATACTTCAGTTGTTATATTTAACTGATAAATAGTACAAAAAATGTCTTTAAAAGGTTGATATTTATTTAAAAAATAAATGCTTCTGGTAATGTGGTGTAAAAAGCTCATACATAGAAACCTAAAATCTAATGTTTTGTAGAGGAAAAACGGCACCCTGTAGGAAAACCTTACTGATTTAATATAAGTAACAATAGGAGACCTTCATAAATACTCATGAGAAAAAAGAAAAATAAACATTCCAGAGAGTTTAGGTGCTTTAAAGATCATAAGGGCCTCACTGTTTTACAACATGGAGTTTCATGGGTTAAAAACAACATTTGTTGGAAGTTCTTCAGGTGGCACCACATTGTGCATTTGTAAACCATGTCTAAGTTCACCACAAACCACACGTCACCTCGGATTTAATACATCTAACTACAACATCATGTTTGTTCAATTCATCCTGTTTGATGGTTATATAGCTGCTGAGTCACAGCAGACTGAGGTGAGTCACAACAGATTCAAAGCTTCTCGTTTATGTCAAATAGGTTTTATGAGAAGAAAATCATGTCTGCATTGTTTAATATGCTAAGCGTTACCACGCTCACTGGTTTGTTAGTCACCCTGAGCTGCAGCTCTTTAGCTCTTTCTTTTTTTGTTGCCTTCTTTTTAGTACAGTCATACTAAGAGCTGGACGAAACATACAGATGAGGTTTCTGCTGCCATAACCTGCCAGAGAACGGCCTCTTTGTTCCAACTGTACAGTTTTTTATCTATACTTCCTGTGCTGTTTTTACACAACACTCCACAAACGTTTTAAATTAGACATCATTTCATACTGACGTGTTTTTGATTGTTTAGTAGAATAATAGTACAGTACAGTACAGACTGACAGAATCCTAAACTTCTGACAGTCAAAAATATACCTGTGTACCTAAGTATCTTTGGATTTAGTTTCAGTACAACTACTGTCTGAACATTTTGCATTGTCTCATGTTTATTTATTAATTTATTTAGGCCACATCAAAAAGAAAAAATAAGTAGGTCCTCTGGATGGGTTCTTCTTTAGTAAAACGTTTCGTCTCTCCTCCAAGAGACTTCTTCAGTCTGATGAGTTTCAGGTGAACTCAACTCACGACACGGGTCAGGTGATGGGGCACATGACCCTCTATGAACAATAGAGCTAATCAAGCCTATTG